CTCTGTGGGAGGGTGTCCCCCCCCGGGGTGGGGGGGTACCCCTCACTGGAGAGGGTTTCAGTCTCCCCCGGTGTGGGGGGAGCCTCCAGATGCACGTAGGTCCCTTTAGGGTGTCCCCCCCGGGGTTGGGGGGAGCCCTGGTTTGGGGGGGTCAGGAGGGGGGGCAAGCCCCCAGGCCTCCTTTGGAAGGGCAGGCAGGCTGCCGGCCGGGTTTCAGCAGGGCCAGCCATCGGCTTGGTTTGTTTCTCTGCTGCCCGAGCTGAACTTCACCACCCACAGCCGATGCCAACATCGTTTTTTAAGTCATCGCCCAGCAGCAGGTCCTAAACTCCTGAAAAACCTGCAGTCGGGGTCTTTCCGTGTTATGGTTCAGTCAGCTGTAGGCCAATTCGCTGACACAAGGTGTATTGTGAATCTTGTGAGCTGTGTTTGGAAGGACACACGTTTTTTTTTTTTAGCAATTCAGTAATATTTTATAGTCCATCCCCAAATCAAGTTTTATCTGAATCTTATTTCAGCTTCAGACTAAACTCTTTATTGCTTGCATTAGCAAAATAGACAATATGCACAGAACAGAGTGAATATAAGACATCTTCCTCCTTCTCATGTGTCTTGATAGGATGAAGAGGGAGCTCCTCGGGAGGGTCCTGGAGTTACGCAGTCCTAACAAAGCAGAAGTGGGGGAGAAAAACATAAATTCCTGTGGTACTGCACTTAACACATTTTTATTTGGTTCCTATAGGAAATGAGGCATAAGTTATTGCCTTCTCCACCCTCCAGCCCCCTCTGATACCTTGCAAATCCTTTTTGATAGCAAGACGTGTGTCGAAGTTAGTATCTAATAGTAAGTATCTACAAGTTCTGAGAAAAACCAGCAATTGGTTAGAGGAGAGAGGTCCAAATAACTGTTTCTCCGCAGGAAAGGCTGCAGTATGAGCTCAACGGTTACTTGTTTTCTCTGGCCTGCTGGCTGGCCACTCAGTTTACATTGTCTGACCTAGCTGCGTGGAATTGTCTGTAGCACAGAGCTGCCTCTTATTTCCAACCTACATTTATTCATGGCCAGTTCATCCCTTTTTGTTCTTGTGCCAACTTTTGCCATTAGCATAAACAGCTCTTTTCTCATTCTGGTTTTTTCTTTTATAGATGGTGACTTTGTCTCTCTCAGCCTTCATTTTCCTCAACTAAGCATAGGAGAGGCTCGCCATTCCCTTGAGCCTCCTCAAGGCCCTCCCCTGCACCTTTTAAAACCAGTTTCTTGTGTTTCTCTCTAAATGCCTTTCATAGCAGTGTACAATGCACAGAAAAAGTATTTCCTGTAAGTGGCCTGATGAACACCTCCTTTTCTCATTAAAAGGGGGAAAAGGATTTACTAACCTCCCTTCTCTAGACAGTAATTTTTTGAAATTTGTCTTCCCCCATATCTTTGTTGTATGAATGATCTGAAGATACTTTTGCAGAACCAAACTCTGGCCAGAGCTCTTAACTCTCCAGGCAAAGCCAGCTGAGCTGTGCCATGTAAGCACTTGGTGGTTATCTCAAGAAATCCTAAATTCATGGATTGAGTACTGCAGCAAGTACCTTTGGGGACAATGGCTGGGAAAGGATCTGTAGGGATGCTTGTAACAACAGGAATAGGTAGAACAGCCACTCACGTTAGTCTGCAGAGATCAGTCGACATCAGCCATGTCAGAAACTCCTGGTTCAAAACATCCTTCAAACCTTCTGAACCCTCCAAACCTTCCGGAGAAGTAAAACTGCAAGAAATGTGCCACGCCGTAAAGACAGAGGAGAGGCAACAATCCAGATGCAGTGTCTGTAACAGCCTCTTACCCAATCCCCTCAAGTCCACAGGGATATTTTATTTTCCTTGTCTTCTAATATCTTTGACTCAGATAAACCCACAAAAAGCTTTAACCTCTTTTTGACATGGTGAGCTCTTTGCACACAACAGCGCCTTGATCTTGGCATGTGAACATGTCTGTCAGGCTTGGGGGACGAGAAATGACCCCCTTGTACCCCACCTTCTCTTAGACCCAGCAGGCATCAAAACAAAGGCAGAGCGTGGGTGAAGCAGCATCTACGCTCCAAACTCACAAAGGAAAGTCTTTGTTTCCAAAAAGGACTTTCCCCTGCAAGTCGCATTTTTTATTTGCAATTAAGGAGATTAGGGGAGACACTGGAAAACAATTTTTTTTTAAATGAAGCTAATCAAGCTGATTAATCGCTAGCATCAAAGGTTTCCCTCCCCCCCTCCGCCCCCACCCCAGAACAGGTTAGACAAACATCTGTCAGGAACAGTTTAGGGCGCGTTGATCCTGCCTTGGAGCAGAGGTCAGACTAAATGACCTCCTGAGATCCCTCAAAGCCCTCGCTTCTTTGATTTTGTATTTTCCATATGACTAGCAATTCTCGGTGTCTGATTTTCTGAGTGGTTGGCCTGAGACACCTCTGTGAACCATAACTGTGCTCATTTCCCCCATCCTGGGTCATCCCCTGCACGCTGGTTTCTAAAGCAGTTTTCATGCAAAGGCTGTAAAAGACAACAAATGCCCCCAGATCCTTTTTCTGGGTGACTGTCCCATGACTCCCTGTAGTTAGAAATTCCATTTTTTTGCTAGAGGACACTAGGATTGTGCCTGAAGGATGTGGGTAAGTGCCTTTTTTTCCTTCTTGCCACCATTTTAGGACTAAGCAGCAGCAACCTGTTAGGTTTTGTAAAATCCCCTTCATGTTAGGGAAAGGAAATGTATCCCTCATTCATTTGTTGGTGGTTTGTTTTTTTTTTTTTTTTTAAATATAGAAAGTGCCTGAGAACAGATTTTTCTTTGGACTCACGTGTCTAATTTGCTTTTTGAACATTTGTGACATAAGCTAAGATTGGGGGAGGTGAAACAGGCTATTGACAGGCTGTGGATATGCTGACACAGCACAAAGCCGCGCAGCGCTGAGATACACAAGTGTGCTCTCAGCCAGATGGCTTGGGAAATGAAGGCACGAGCTGCAGCAACAGAGAGCTCAATATGGACTCAGTTACCTTGCCCAGAGGTACCTGTTCCGAGCGAGCTCGTATCACCATCATTACTGTGATCATCATGATTTTAAGATGATTAGATCTTAAAAAAAAAAAAAAAAGCAAATCTGAGTGTCCCCAGTAAAGGGCACAGATCAGAAACAAACTGGGAAATTCCTCCTGGGTCAGGCAGGCATCTCTCCTGCATGGTTTCATGTTTAGATGACAGGCTTTTCATAAGAGCTTGTAGCAGTGATACGAGGAAAGAACTGTTTTGTTTCTTTTTTTTGAAAATGAACTGATCAACATGCTGAGAGTGTGAACAAGTGGGGTTTTTTTTTTCCCCTGTGTGTTGATTTTATCAAATCAAAATGTTTTGCAGAAATATATCAATTTCATCTCGGTTTTCACTGGAGAGTTTTCTTTTGAGAGGGCTTTGTTTTGATTAGGTCAAAGCACTTCATTTTGACTTCTCTGTTTCGGTGATGTTGGGATGTTAGAGGAGCAGATGCGCTTCAGCCCTGTCAAAAGGCCATGCTTTGACCTTATCAAAGCGCTGGGTTTTGATGAGGCTGTGCTGACATTTGCAAAACCAAAAAAGACCCCAGTCATCTGTATTTTTGAAATTTGTATTTTGTGAAAAATTTCAGAATTAGGCTTTTTTTGGTCTTTGTTCTTTTCCTCACTCATGAGACAGAATTGCAAAATGTGAAATTTCCTTTTGAAATTTAAATCCTCATTTTCCTATGTGACACCATTGCCATCGATACCTGCCCCAAAACATTCCTTCAAAAGTTACACACTTGGGGACCTCATCCCTCCCTGCGACCAGACTTTCTCTTTCTATTCTCCAATCTCACCTCTGATTTTTCTTGGCTTTCAGAAGCCAGGCGAAGAAGTCTTTGGCTTCCTGGGTGCCCAGGTCCAATCTTTGGCCATTCGCAGCTGATGCTTGGGGCTCAGCTTCCCTCTTGTATGGCTCGATGATGTTGCTGGTAAGGCGAAATGGGAAGAGATCAGCCCCAGATGCCACGAGAGGGTGCCAAAATGCTGCTTTTCCACAAAACCCAGCTCCCTCCCATTCCATCTAACCAGCAGCCAGAGAAGAAGGCGGTCTTGGACAGGGAGAGGGATAGTTGTGCTGTGTGCCGACAGACCAGAAACATTTCTAGGACTTAGAAAAATAAAAGAAAAGAAGAAAACCAACTCCCTAGAGAGTCACTGCTGCAGTCCAAGAAAAATATCCTCGGCTCTACATTCTTCTGTAGCCATCAGCTGGCTGACGACAGCTGTAAGTTTGGATCGTAGGAGCTTTGAAAGTCTACACACTTACTCGCTTTTCTTCTCCCGTCTGGCTAGCAACCATTCCACAAAGTTCTTCTTCAGCATGCTATCCATCGTGCGGCTGTAATCGCTTGCCAGGGTGGCCTCAGAGTAGCGTCTTTGCACTGGTCTGGCACTGGGAGTCCTTATACTTACGCTGGGGTAAGAGCACAGAGACAGAGTGAGTCCTGCACAGACCGGGAGCACGTGCTGTGCGGAGTTTTGCTTGGGTTACACGTGGTGGCCCACGCTGTCCCTACAATCAGCAAGGTTTTGTGATCACTTTTAATCTCTCTCGGTCCGGGTGACTATTCCTGCATTGTTACACGAGGAGATGGCCAGAGAAGGGACTCATCCATTTTCCTGGCTGCTAACCCAATTGCAGCTCAGATTTGAGAACTCAGGAGGAGATGAACTCAGGATATTTGCTGATAGTCTGGAGTCAGTGTGGTTTTCCCTGCCGTAGCCTGATTCACATGGACTTTGGCTCCGAGCTAAGGCACCAAGTGTGCTCAGGCTCCCTCCTCCAGTGAGTTGCACACCTAGGGCCAAGGAAACCTTCTCCTGTGTTCTCGAGAGGCTCAAGGTGGATGGCAGGAGACAAGGGCTGACCTCGAGACCAGTGCTGATCTGACAGTGTAGATATAGTCGGTGGCTACCTAAGTTAGCAAAGGTTTTCAAGGCTGATCCTTTTTTAGTACTATTATCCGGGATTTCAGCAGCTCCTACTGCTCTAATGAGGATTCTTTTGGATATTCTCAGGTGGTAGTTGGAAATTTTGTAGCAGGAGTCAAGGAAAGAGAGGGAAAGCCTTTATTATGTATCTGCTTTATGTAACTGGTCATATTTACAGAAGCTTCCAAATACTGGATGCCCCCTAGCCTCACTCATGTGAGATGATTACATCTTGTCTCTAGTTCTCAGCCAACCTTCTTCTCTTCCTGGTTGACTTCCAGCTTATTCCTCCTAACCCAGAGACATGAAGTTTTTAGGGAAATCTTGGGAGTTCCTGGCTCTGGCTCAAAGGCTCAGAGCTTTAGTTTGATATCTCTCTTATCATTTGCTCATCTCTGTACATTTGGCTGTTTCTATTATCTGAGATCTACCTCAGGACTCATGTTCTCACCTGCTTACCAAGGTGCCAATGGAAAAAGTCCATTTGCCTCCAGTGGGGAGCTGGAAAAGGCTCAAAGTACACTATGAACTTTCCAAAACACTTACCCCGAGACATTTTCTTCCATCAAAACAAAACCCAGAGAAGCGAGGAGCAGAGAGAGAACTTTGAAAGACATCATTTTCTTGGCTGGTTTCTCTGTTCAAAAGCAGAGGGCAATCCAGACGTACGGCCCCTATAACACATGGGACACATAAGTGACAAGGACAGCGAACCCAGAGGGATGTGCGATGGCTGGGCACGTGCCTGTGCTTGTAAACGTGTTTCTTCAGTCCTTGGGCTTCGAGCAGCCTTCTCCATCCTACAAAGCCCTCTTCTGCCGTTCCCAGTTAAATTACTTTCTCAATGCCAATGCTCTTTCCCACCATGGTGTCTTTTAATGTTGGTTCCCTATACTTTTATTGTAACCATCAAATTCATTGTGGGTTGCGCATTCCTGGAGGCAAGGGCTTTGTCTTCCTCCATGTTTACAAGCTGACCCTGTGGGTACCTCATTGTGCTTTAAGGGTCGATTCAATCTTGAGTATGTGAACGGGAACGTACGTTGGATCAGGCAATTCAGTAGCAATGGCATCCTGCTTATCCCACAGTGCGGTTCTGCAGGATTTAGGAACCTGATCTAATTTCTGGGAGATTTTCTGTTGGGATGGATAATGACTTATGTAGGGACTGGAGCCAGAGTCAGTGAATATCAGTTATGAAAAATATCCCATGGACAGTGACAGGATCGGATTCCAAGATTTATTAGTTTCAAGCTGTTCCTAGTCCTCATGTCCACGGTTCGGCTCAATAGCCCTTGGACATCTGAGCTCTTTTAATTACTATTCCAGCTCTGCAAACTCAGTACAAAAATGGTTTTGATCATGGCTCACATATATTTCTTGTTGTCCCTCACCTCACTCTTTGTTGTAGCTATTTCTGGAAACTGCGTTGCAATGGAGAGCTGCTGTTAACAGGAATAACACAGTAACAAAAAGAGAAGGTCTAGATCAGGACTCAAGTAGCCCATCCTGCAAAAATTTAATCATACATTGATAGAACTTTACTCCTCTAAGTAGTTATTTGTACTGTTACAACTGCCCAATTATTGTTTTGGAGAGAGCGAGAATTTGCGAGTTTGATTGTTGTTCGTAATTGTGGCATTTTTTATTTGTAGAGAATTGTGACATCTTTTACAACTGTTTTCAGCCCTTCCTATGAAGTGAGAAAAATACTAAATGCGTTACATTATCTCAGATACATGAAGTTCTGAGGAATGCTCTTAAAAGCACAGGTGTAATATTCTGAACACTGGCAAAATCCCTAAAATACTTAGAGCTAAAGCAATAAAAGACAAATAGTTACAGAGTGTGTTAACAGCAGAAGTAAATTCCGTTATACAAAAAGCTGAGGAGTATTTTAAATGAGAACGGAAAAAAATGTCATGATTAAATGACTGAGGTTTTCTTTCTTATTTGCTTTTCGTTTCATATATTGGTGATATAACTGTGGGTAGGATGATGGATCTGAAAATAGCTAAGTTGTGCAAGAATATTTTTCTGCTTAAGGTAATTATGACGCTAGGAAAGGAAATGCATTGTAGCCTTAATTTTAAGAAAGGGCAGTACTCCTTCTCTGCAGAATTTACCCAAACGGGGAGGAAAAGCAGTCCACATTTTCAGAGACTGTTGAAAAACCATTTTTTAATTAATACAAGACCCCTTTGCCTGTGTGACACTGAACGGGGGCAGTCGAGCTCTGCTAGCCCTGTCTGGCAGTTTGCTGTGATACCTGCACTGTTTTGATCCTATGATTTGACTTCACAAAAGGAGGAGCAACTGGCGGGATCTTTCTAACATGAAGGTCTTCCAGTCCCCTGTGCAATACTGTCTGCTCTGGAAGAAGCATTATCCCCTGTTTTATCCATAGCTGGGAGGTCCCAAAAAGCAACTGAGAACCAATTTCTCCACATTTCCCTGTGTAGGTGCAGATCCCAGCCTGGTATTTGCCTGTACTGAATCCTCCTCTGAGATAAGGGTCTTTCCTTTTACACCCCAACACGTACGCTGCTGCAGGTCTTCTCTGCCAAAGCTACCGAGAAAACGGCCAGTCTTGGACCGTTTTGGGAAAAACCCAGCCAAAGGTACGGGCTGTTCCTGCCCTGCTACGGCTGCTGCCTGACACTCTCAAACACTGCTCACTCCCACCATTATCTTAGCAAAAAAAAAAAAGAGTAAAAAAAGTTAAAAAGAGAGACTGACATAGAGCTGCTTACCTTTCTCCTTCTCAGAAGCTGCCCAGAGGATTTCAGCTGGTTCTGGTGCTGAGGAGACCCTGCAGGGCTTTTATATACGTTAGCTGTGCAGGACCAAACCTACTTCCATGAGGTAAACAGGAAATCAAGCACCTAATCAAAGCAATTCAAACCCACTTAGAGCTGCTTCATTAGGTCCATTGACCTACAGAGCAGGAAAATAACCTTTTAAAATATGTTTACATTAATGGCAATTAAACATGACTATATCACAAAATCAAGAATGAACATGGATTGTGGGCAAAATACATATAGCACTGGGCTAAACCTTAATTCCATGTAGCACCTCCTTCCATGGTAAAAACTTCCTTAATTTTCATCTTTTGTTTTGCCAAGTGTAAGTGCTATCTTAGAGAGATCCAATCCGCTCCTTCTCTTTCTTACAGGAGGAATAACTTTGCTAAAGTCAATAGCTCCCATGGTTATTTTTGTCACCATCAAGTCTGGGCATCCCAAGTGTGGTCTGCAACCCCTTGTGCAAACCCCAAATACTGAAAACTGCATCTGTCCCCCAAAATGTGCACTCTAAGAGAAGAAAACTTGGGATGGAGAGTGGCAGACAGGAAACTCGTAGGAAATGGTGAGGCAGAATTGGTTAATGAGGTGGAAGGTGGTGGCACAGCAGCCGCCTATGTGGGGTGAGGGATAGCAGCTGGACCTGAGCACCCATTTGGGCTTTTTCTGTCCTGAGTGAGTGATGGAGTGTTTCCCTGTGGCTCTGCAGCTGCTGGGGACATGGGTCAGTGAGGCCACCACCTCACCCTGCCCTTGCACAGCTGGATCCAGGAGAGCAGATGTTCTGCAGATGTTAATTGTGTCATCAGAGTACAAGGGGTAAATCCACTTCCCATCAGCTCTGCTGTGACTGTGTGCCCGGTAAGATATTCTCCCCGGTGTCTGACCTGCCCCGCTTCCCCCGAGTCTCTCTGGGAGAACTGGACCCATGACATTTTAACATGTAAATCCTGTTTAGGGACTGCTACCGGGTGTGTACCCGCTGCTCTAGGATCCCCGTCACACCCAGCTTCGATCTGTCAAAGGAGCAGAGCAGGATGATGTTTGTACCAGCCTAACCCACAAGCTGAGCTCTGCTCACATCATTACCGAAGTGAAGCACTGCCCGTGGCTGGCTGCGCTGGCTTGCAGAGCACAGTCCCATCCGCAGCTCGGTTCCCCTGAGCAGCCTGAACTTTTGCAGGAGGTTATCCAAGTTACAACCTTCCCCTCAGGTCTGCCAGCCTCTTTTTTTTTTTTCGTGGAGTTCAGCTGAGCTGCTCGGAGCAGTAACCCCGCACACCTGGATGTAGGAGGGATGTGTGTGTCTGCGTGTATCATCCCAGGTTTGTGCTGGCTCAGCTACATCAGGGATTTGTGTGGGAAAGAAGTAGGATTTCTGGTTGACAGGGCTGAGCAAGAAGCAGCCCTTCGTGGCATTGCAGTAATAATGGCAAAATTGAAGTGTCAGTGGTTTCGGTGTGGGAGAGGGTTTCAGTGTGCTGGCTCAGTGCCCCCAACATATCCTGTCCCAAACACATGCAGAAATCCAGCGTGATGAGGTACGTATCTCCACGTAAAAGCTATCCATTTTGCAATTCCTTTCTAAAAAGTGTTTTTTCTGCTCTTCTGAGAAGTGCTGCTGGGACACGCTGTCAGATACAGGCTCTTGCTGCTCTGTAGTTATAAAACTCCCCAGCACAACCAGCCTCTCCAGCAAAAAGTGTTGCATCTATACTGCATCAAGATAAAGGCTCAGAAGGACGTTGTTAGGGTAGATGAAGAGTTCAGTGCTATTAGGGAGTAATTACTACTTTCACAGGAACTACTTAACACGTGGCTTAGTCCTTTAGCTAGCAGCACACAAGCATGCCAGGGTCTCCAAAAACTTTTCACCCATGCAGAAGCGTCATGCCTGCTGTAATAAATGGTGCACTATAATAGTTACAAGTAACCAATTTACACTCCTAGCACAGTTGCTAATCAATAAAATGGAATAGTTTATCCTGGTGTCTTTATTATATGTATTCTGGGTACTTCACTCCCAGCCAACTCAGATATCTTGTTTCTCCAAAGTGCAACCTATTTGTTTTCCTCTCATTAAGTGCCTCTGTAGGATATAAAGTTAATAGAGTGAAATAAATATCCAGCAACATTAAATGTTGACCCAGGGTTCACAGTTACGGTTATTTCAGGGCATCTGCTCGTGATGCAGTTCGGACAGCAGCATCACTCCAAAATTTCTCACAGTCTTTCAAACAAAAACCCCCAGATATGCAGAAGTTATTTCCAAAGACAGGCGGGCACTGTCTGCATTTCATTCTGCGGGATATCCACTGATCGATGCCTAAAACGCTGAACCTCCGCGTGCCCGTTCAGGTCTGGGAAGCGGAGAGGCGACGAGTGAAGTGCTGACCTAGAGAAGGGCCACGTGCCCACATCTGCTTTTTCCAGGGTAACAGAGGGTCTAATTAACGATGCAAACCTTGCTCTTCTCTAGCCTCAGCCCGTCACAGCCACAGCAATGCTCCCCTCGTAGTGGTATCTGTGGTCTGCTGCCTTCGCTGATAACACAAGTCATTTCATGAGCTTCAGCTGGGTCCCGGCTTGGGACAGAGGACACTTTAGCTTAGGTTTCACCCAGTCGTGGCATTTGTCTCCCTGCAAATTAAACAGGAGAGCCAGGACTGCCCTGCTTCATCCTACCCTGCCAGGCAGCGCTTCGTGAGCGAGCTCTCCTCTTCGCAGCAGACCTGACTCGAGGAGTTGGTGTTTCAGGAATTCGGGAATGCGTTGGGAAGATCACAGCTGCGTTACTGAAACGGTCCTTC